ATCTATCTATCTATCTATCTATCTATCTATCTATCTATCTATCTATCATCTACCTAACTATCATCTAATCATCTGTCAAAACTTATCTTTTCTCTGTTCTTTATGTAGCTAACCTGGTTCTAAAGATAGTCTGTGTATTATTACTCAATCAGTTGTTTGATATGTCTTCTTATATAGATGTTCATTTTTGAAATCTGTATATTTATGTGACTTCACTCATTTAATCATTTTAGTGCAATCATGTTCTGTCTTAGGTGAGATGGAAATGGAAATTGTATCAAAGTTTAGTGTTCATTTTAACTATGCTGATGTTGCCTATATTCTGCCTTTGGATCTTGAATGAGAAGTAATTTCTAATAATCCAATTTAATAATTGATACTTTTGTGCCATGTTCACCAATGCACAATGTGCAGAAGATAGAAAAGAACAATACTGTGTTCCAAATTGCTCTCCTCAACTCAGTCAGTGGACATCAACAGTCTAGCTGTAAGCATAGTTTTCGGATGAATAATAGTGATAAAGGCTTAAAGTCCTAGCTCACAACTGATTTTCCTTTAGAGATACTCACATAAGTGAAATTCACTTTAAATAGTTCTGTATACAAACAAGGTGAACTTGAGATCTAGTTACCTCATCCTTGGATGGCCACATTAATAAAAATGGACCTGTGAATCCAAACATTCAAGATCGTTGATTTCACAAGGGGATAGTGAATATTTCTGTGTATTTTAGTGTGAGAGTGTGTGATAGCTAATTGTCATTGTCAACATAACAGATACTATAATCATCTCAAATATAAATTTCTGGGCATACATTTGCTATAATTTCTAGATTTATTAGCTTTATCATGGGGAGAAAGTTAATTGTAAAACAAGCCACACAATTTCATGGAATAGAATCCTGGACTTGACAAAGACAAAGCTCGGAGCTAAGCACCAGCATTCATCCCTCTCTGCATGCTCCCTTACTACAGATGCAATGGGACTAGGTGCCTCAATGTCCCAGTGTCATGCCTTCCCAATGATGGACTATAATGTTCATATCTCAGTCAAATGAATCTTTCTTTTCTAAAGCTGCTTTTGGTAGAGATATCATTTAGAAGTAAGAAAATGAATAAAATAGCATGGCTATTCAACATTTTAGTAAGGATCATAACCAAATCCTTA